GTCAATTTTGTGATGGTGCATTTCCCTGATGCTATACTTGCTAGTTTTGTTCTACTTCCCTCTATCGTATAGCACATTCTTTTTCACGATTAGAGTCAATCGCTCTGTGAACTTTCCAAGGTATAGTCTCAATTAATATTCTTGCATTATAAGTTTGTAATCTTGACACAAGATCTCCTAAAATACTCCTTAAAATGTTGAGATTTCTTAGACGCACTCTTCCTTGTTGGTTGCAAGTGATATGTATTTCTAAGCCAGGGTTTCAACGTTAGACCTTAGTATCAAAGTTGAAGTTTGTTATTGTATTTAATCTTGACCCATTGTGATTCCGTCTTAAATTTCTCCTCCTTCGATTCGTAATCCTTGAGCTTTCAAGATGTTCCCTTGAACTTGTCATAAGTTCAGGTTCCCGTCGGTTTCTTGAACTCAAATTCCCAATTTGAATTTGTTAATTACCTTGTTCTTGATTCCTTAATTCTCCAGCTATTCTTGTCTGTCCTAAACGATGCCAATATGCTATAGTGTATAGTTCATTAAGAGTGCTTGTTGGTAGCATTACACTTAGAGGACTTTGAAGAAGTTGATAAAGTAATTTTGCATTCTCTTCAAAATCTTTAAATCTAAGTGTGTCAACAAACCAACAAATTTATGGTTCAAAGGTTCCACACTCTGTTACTGCTAAAACTCTCGTCAAATCAATGTTGAAAACAAGTGTTAATGGTTGAAAAGTTTTATGTTTACGTATGCTTAGGAATTCAATAATTATTTGTTGAAAGATGTGTCCGCGATACACCCAAGTCAGGGTTCTTCGAGTTGCAAAGAAATCGAAGTAAACATATTTTTCTTTCAACATTTCCTCATTTTCGCATTCTTCCTATTTGCTAGACAATTTGTAAAAGAGTTGCAAAAGTCTTTTTTGAAGTTTTTGAAAGCAACCAAAACTTTGTTTTTCTTCTTTTTCTAAACTATTGTTACTCTTTTTGATATCGTCTTCTTGGGCTATTTCTTTTCGTTTCTTTCTCTCTTCTACTGTGGCATTTTCATCCATAATTCAGAGTTTTGCTTTCACTTGCTTGCAAGTGTTGCATCGCCATTTTGGATAGCATTACTTGTATGGTTTTGCATAATTTCTGAAACCACATAAAAGGCAGTTTCTATATCTTGTACAGCTTGTGTCTCCAAATGGGCAGTCATGCTTTTTCATTCTTCCTCCATCGCTAGCTGCTAGAATTTTTCTTTGGTCATTTCCTTGTCGCAGATTCTTGAAATATTCGTTTTCTTCAACCTCTCATTAAAAATAATTACGCTCACACTCCAAGTTTTCCATGACTTGGGTGGCTTCAATCTTCAAGTGTTCTTCATGTTTTCATGCTCGTTAACACTTGCTTGCTTTGATTTCTTGTCGGAGATTCTTCAAATATTCTGATGTGTAGAATATTCTTCGTTTTCAACCTCTCGCCAAAAAACAGTTATGGAAGATGCTTAGACTTTTTGAGAAGTGGGTGATCACTAAATGATCATAGTCTTTAAGCACTTGGTCTTTAGCATGATTGCCATGCCTCTTATTGTAGACTTTTGTCGGTTTTCTTCTTTTCGTGATTCTTGACTTCAGCTTCTTCTTTTAGTTGTGGCTAAGGCTTCAAGTATTTGTTCTTTGGGTGCTCTTCACTTTGCCTATCCTACCGTGGTCACCAAAGTGGAGAACTACAAAATCACCTCTACAATGATTTTGTGAATCCTCTCTAATCTAAACTAAATACAAACATAAAAAGGAAAGAAATACTTAGCTATATGTTATTACAAAGATGTTAATGCTAAGATTGATGTGCATCTCACAGCCTTAATCCCCAAAAAGTAGTGAGTAAGATAGGCATGGAAGAGAAGAGTAAATGTTGAGCAAGTTGAGTGTATATTATTATGGCCAAGGATATAAAAGGATAGAAAGGGGATAGGTCTAGTGTGCTATCACCAACTTATATAACCACTATATGCCCAGTGATCCAAGTCAGAAATTTAGACCGGGAGAAATCTTAATCTCAATTCTTGACTTAGGAAATGCCTTTGTGCGAAAATCACGATGCAAAATGCATATACCTCTCTAATGAGTCATATTCCTTTATATTTAAACCTCTATAAATTATTTTTCAAATCATTCCCTTTGGTTATTTATAATTCATCACGCTTTTTTATAAGTTTATCCCTTCATGAATAAAAGTTGAGAGCTACAACTTTCCCTACTTGACACCCTCTTGGGTCAAGCCTAGATAGAGACAAATTAAATCTACCAATATCAATGTTAGCATGTGGTGTAGCCAACCAAAAGAGTTGAATTTGAGACTTCTTTTATGCTAAATGTAAGCTCTTGAATTTGGACTTCCCATGAAGTCACCCAACCTAGTATTACTCAAATTAAAGAAATCTTAACCACAAGTATCCCAACACCTTTAATTAATTGAAAAAAAGGTGCACTTTTGTTCATAAGCTTTTTTTATAAATTGTTTATCGAATTGTTCTTTTTGGTTATTTACAATATACTCATGACACAAAAATAAAGATCATATAATTTACAGGTAGTCATACACATTTAAAGACAAAATCTTGTGCTTAATCTTTTGTAGATTGTTCATGAGATAAACCTTTTCAAAAAATTTGATAAGTGAAGTGTGAAATATATCTGTATTAAGATTTGAGTTGATTTGGGATTCTTCTAATGTTGCTTCATGCTTTTAGAATTAGCCCATTTCTGCACTACATATATAAATCCTTCTGTTGTGTAGACCATTTGAGGTAACTAATTATCTACTAACTTCCCATTGATTAATGATTATTTAAAATATAATATATTTTTGAGTAAGATATATACTATAAACTCACTTAAAATTTCAGAAATTCAAAGTGGACTATCCTGCACCCTTAAAGGAATCATAGGACTACTACATGCTTAGTATTCTAAACGACCTGGCCACAATCTTGCTTTTCTCAGGTAACCTTTGGGCGTTTCTGTTGGAAATCGTCCGCAAACTTTTCTGTGGCATCTATTGGGCGCTTCTGTCGCGGATCACCTGTAAAATTGAAGAAATGTCGCATCATGATATCATGGGAATCACGAATATGTCTTACCAAGCTCCTTAATGTCAGAGACGTTTGGAATTGGAAGCTTATACGTGTCAGGAAGCAGCAAATGGAGCCATGATTTCGCTTCCTCTGATTTCTTTCCAGCCTCCACCTCCGTATCCGGCACGGCAATTGAAAGTTCAGCTAGAAGTCTCTTCGTCTCAGCACCAAGGAAACGAAAGTTGTGTTCGAGACCATAAACTGTTATGTGCGCAACAGGCTCCGTTTTCTTGCCATAAGCTTCGTCACCCTGCGAGTAAGACCTATGCATCTCATCCTTCTTCCATAACTTTGTTGGCAGTGGCTCTTTATGTTTTGGTTCTTGGACATTAATGAGGACCGTCACCACTTTGATTTCGATTCCTGAGACTTGCATGAGCCTCGGCCTCAACGCAGTCGTAGAAGCTTTGTTGAGCCACCCACACTTTTTACTGTTCTCAACCGAAACGAGCAGCGCAGTCATCCCCAAGGAAGTCCAGACCGGAATAACAATGTCATAACCTCGGACGTTATTGTTGGCTTTGTACATGATTGCACAGCCTCTCATGAACGCAGCTGCCAATATCTCGGGTGTCAACTGCCCCTGCTTAACCAGCATAAAACTGTTAAAAAAGACGGCAGCGGATTCATCCAGGCCGCTGCATGCCTCGTCAACCTGTGCCTCCCCCCAGCCCAGCAATCGTCCAATATAATCCCGGAGAGGAATGCGGCGTAGGTAGTATTCACCCTTGTACAAGCTCCAACAAGCTTGCAGCAAGATGAGCTTCACTATGAATTCCCCCCGATGTCCAGCATCCACATACCCATTGTAGCAGCCGTTCAGGAACAGCCCTAGAGCAACTTCTAGAGGCTCGCCACTCTTGCGGTTGAGAATCCTAGCGGCCGCTTCACTCACAACGGGCTCCACGGGCTGACTGATATGCACTCTCGTACGATCGAGGGAGATGAACGTAAGGATACTCATGTGAGAAGCGACAAGAAGCTGGCTTTGCGCACTCCGCGGGCATATCTCCAGGCCCGCTGATGCTGAAAGCAAGGCCAACGCTTGGCTCTCAGCCATCTGTACCTTTCCGGTAGAACCACAAACGTCCACAGCTTGCCCCTGAAAGTCCCCGTGCAGCACCCCAACCAGCTTGGCTTCCGCAAGATCGAGGAGGCTCCACACATTTGGATTGCTGTCAAGGCGGCTACTCCATAGGGGCCTTCCATACCTGAACAACTGAGCTGGAGACAAATCCGTAGTCCGAGGAACAAGGTCCATATTCACCACCTGATGAATAGGCCTTAAAAGCCGCAAACCCAGGATATTACCTTTCCTCGACTGGTCCTCGTGCTGCAGATTACTGATACTCCACATCGTATCAATGACAACTGCAAAGTATTTCTTGTGTGTGAAGAAAGCTCTCGCCACTCGCCTCATCTGGTAAAACGGCGATTGTGCCATACTGAAGGTGCTTTCCCCATTCGGTAAGAGACCGCGACCTTCATCAAAAACAAAAAGCACCTGCACCTCCCCCTCTTCCGGCAGTACATCCTTCAAGTTTTCAAGCTCTCGTTGGAGTAGATTCTCGTTCCTGGCATCCGGTGACTCACAAATTTCCTCTACAGCTCTGCTGTTGATCAATTCAAGCCATTTCTTGTGCACGGCCTCCGCAATACTGGACGAATGCATCTGTGAATCCATCCACTGCACTGAGCTCATCTTCTCACCCTTCACCGTCTCATGGAGGACAAAAAGCCACGCTTTGAAGTATAGCGCCATCTCCAACTCGCTGTTCGTTCGGCTGAGCTGGTTGGCAAGCTCCCCAGTTCGAGGAGGACAGGCGCTACTGTTTGCTGCCGCCGTGCTGCAATAGCAAATATACACTCCCAGGCGCGACATCTGTATCACCCCGCGTGTTTTCCCCGTGCCAGAACCCTGTACTATGGAGGTATAGCAGCTGTAGTGCTGGTCTACACAATAGCCAGTGCTATAAGCCACAATAACAGAAGAATTCAAGACTTACTCTTTGAGCATTCGTTCCTCAACTTACACAGCTCCTTGTACAATATCTTATGGGCCTCCCCAACGTACTCCCTCCGTAACGATTTCATCGCCACTTCCGTATTAATCTCGTGCCACAAACGATCACGATCAGGCCTAGTGTTCTCTGCACAGGCACAAGCAAAAGAATACTCGAGCACCAGACAAAAACACTGAACTTTCACCTATCGGCTTCTGCATGAGGAGCCTTTCACATTGACGCAGCCACCCGCACGAAACATACTCCAACCTCTCCTTTATCCACCGTAGCAGCTTGGGGTCTCGTGTTTCTTTCTTTGCCACTAGGTCCATGATCTTGGTGCCGCGAGCCTCTACTGCACAGTAAATGCAAAAAGAACAGTAGCCTAAAGAAACAGCGAAAGAACTTACAGTTGAACTGCGCATATATTTGGCATGCGAGATTAAGATTTCCTGGAAACAAGGAGAAAATCTCACGTACATCGGCCGTCCACAACCTGGAGACCGAATAGCCTTGCCGCTGGAGGCGCTCATAGTCAGACCCGCAAAGATCCCGCAAGCGCTCCTTGCCGTCGTCGCAGACGCTCTCCATTAAACCCTAAAACACCTTTTTCCCAGGCATCCAATCTTATGGGTCTGTCAAAATATAGTACTTTCAATTTACTCTTTTCATCATTAAAATTTTCATCCCATCTAGTATCAGCTTTCCTCTGAGTCCACATGGCCTTGCACAACATGAAAAGCCATGTAAAGTTTAAGCCCAACCAAAAGAGTAAGAAGAAAAAAAGAGGAGTTACATTTTGGTAAAAGGTCACAATAAATCTTTTGACTCTGTACTGCTCGAAGTAGACTATTGTTGCTGTGCTGTTTCAGCATTTTGCATTGCTCGCAGCCTCCGGCACTGGCATAAGTTGTGAATTGTACCACTTCTGCAATTGCCAAAGCAGTGAAGTATATACTTCTAAGTGGCTGGAAATTATTTTCTACATCTTGTGTTTTGCTTGGCATCTGGATCTCGAGTAATGGGAATCACTGCAAGCGCCATTTAAGGATTCTGAAGCTTCTAATGTAGCAAGTATGTACAATAACAAAAACATCAGATCAACATGTGGCAATGGCAGAAGAATGTTTTCTGATTCTGCATGACATTTCTTCATCCTTGGATTTTTTCCCCTATTAGTTTGTCGTTCTTGTAATAGGACAAGCATTGTGAGGATTAGCGAAGCAAAACTTTCAATACTAGTAGCATAGAAGTCTTATTTAAATTCTTGCTGCTTGCTGGACTGTAGTAAAGATTGATTCTTATCTATCCAACAATTTATTCTAAGTGCTAATGGATGCACTAAAAAGTTATATTAAATGAATGTTACAACTTTTTCAAAACTTCAATGAGCAAACTCTCAAAGATCTAAGGTACCATCATTAATTTAACATAATGGATCACCTTTAAAAACCCAGACAACAAAGAAGCTCTCTCCATTCCAATTGGTGTATAGTTTGAAAACAATTCTCCCCATGCAACTTTGTTTACCTTCCTACCATATCTCCTTTTAGGAAGTGGATCCCACTACAATTGTTGGGACATCACCGGATCTTCACACCAATTGCACAGATCAGCTGGATGAGGATTTAGATATTGCAGCTGTTTGTATTCAGATTCATTAATGTCACACTGTTTTGATGCATGCGAAGCAATGAGGTGAAAACTTCCTCCCATGTGATGTTGTTTAGCACCTTAATGCTTCGCACCATAGAGTGAAGTTTCAACCTCCCTGTATCAAGTCTTTGGGAAGCTCCTACTTACTTGCGTGTCTCCCCAATGGAAAGGTAGTAGTTGGCTCCACTCTGAGGTCACTGAATTTCACCAATGGAGCCCATGCAAGGCTTGGATCGCTCTGAGGATGTGTTTCAGCTGGGGGTAGGCTGCATACCAAGCCCCGAGTTTTCATTGCCTCCATCGGTTATTGAAGTTAATGCATCTGCAGGTAATGGTGGGTTGGCCATGATGGACTCAAGGCGAAAATGTGGTGGGTTTCGCAGACAGAGCTAGTCAAAGGTTTCCTTCTCACCACTGTTTTGACACCAGCGGAGGCGAAATGTTGGATTGCTGATGATGGACTTCCATGACTTCTGAACAACAGAGCACCCGCAAAGTGTGGCCAAGTCCACAAAACTGAGAACTGTCTCCAGAATGTCATCTTCATCACCAAGACCTGCCTGCATTGTCAAAAGAGGGCCTAAAGGAGTCGACAATGGAGAAAGATTGAACCCTTGCGTAAAGAACGGAGCAATCATTTTTCTCTTTCTCGCGTTAGCATTCATAAGGCACTGCGGCCAGTTTGATCGGGGTGCATGTCCAACGGTCGAGGACTCTGCCCGTAAGCAGCTTGTTCGAGTGTGGAGGTTGTACATTTGAGGTGGGAGCTGACTCGCGCTCCACCGTGAGAAATCCGCTACTAATATATAGCGAGACCTGGAAGACGCAGAGAGATTCCTGCTTAGAACTCGGTGTTTGCCTGGAATGAAGGGGTCACAGCCAACAACAAGACGCTTGGAATCGCAAGAAGCTCCTGTTTTAGCAGACCGGTCTTGCACTAGACCAAATACCCACTAACTTCATGGGAAAAATCTTCACTTTTGCCGTGGTTTTTCACTCATGGTACCTTCACAATGCTGCATCATCAACATGAAAGCAAACAAATGCTCTTCCAAATCGGCATCAATGCTCATGGCAATACAACTATGTGAGGAAGATTTGACAACCCTCCACGTTGAAATAATTAACATCAATCACAGTTCTCCCAAAATCGCCTGAAACAAAAATAAAGAGACACAGTGCAGTGAATCTATCAGCTAGGAACGCAAACACACTTACTCTCGTAGATGGTTCTGACCACATCAACCCATTCCAAAACGAGCTCCTTAAACACAACGCCACCAGGCTTGGCATCCAAGATGAAGAGCGCACCTGCAACGAGTTCAAGCAAATTTTGATCGATGTTAGTATATTTGCAAGTCCAAGAGTTAGCCTGGTGCGAGCCATTTAGTCGAGCATTTGTGGCTGGTACACGACGGCATTGGCGCAAGCCAGATAATGTTTCTTAAGTTCATGCTGCTGTCGTAAGGAACGAATGATCCTGTCAAATGCTGTAAGGCGCTGCATTGAGGCATTCGCTTACCCGTTTGGCAATAGCCGAGGTTCAAGGCAAAGCTGTTCTTGTCATACTCGGGGTACTCTCGACAATGAAACCTGCAAAGTTACAAACATTCAGTCATGGTGACTAGCGTTTGAGCAGGCAAGCTTACAGAATACCGAGCCTTCCAGTGCCATAAGCGGTAAACATGTGTCTAACGAAAGGTGAAACCGTGTGATGGTGCTCAAGATCCGTCATAGCATATATGGAATGAAAATGTACATATGTGTGACCGGTGAAGACTCGTGTCTCTCCACGTGGACTAGCCACGTGGCACAGGGCCACTCTCAACACTCCCACTGGCACTGTGGCCATCACGAGTGATGCTCATCAGTGGAGAAAGTCCCAGCCCTTCGCGATGGACTTGAAATCGATCTCGGGGTAGTGCTTTTGTGAAGATGTCTGCAACCTGAGTGGTCGTGTTGCAGTAGATCAGCTCAATTGTGCCATCTTCCACTTTCTCACGAACAAAATGATGATGAATCCCAAAGTGTTTGGTGCGTGAATGAAAGCGAGGATTGGCCGCTAATGCAATGCAGCTTTGATTGTCACAGAAGAGGCGAGTGGGAGTCTTCACACTCACACCAAGGTGAGAAAGTAGTGAGCGTAACCACACACCTTCTTTGGTAGCTTGTGAGGCTGCCAAATATTCTGCTTCAGTACTAGAGGTTGCCACTGTACTTTGCTTCCTGCTGCACCACGAGACTGTCGCACTGCCCAGGGAAAACGAATAGCCAGAGGTGGACTTGCGTGTGTCACAGTCTCCCCCAAAATCAGCATCACAGTAGCCCGTGAGGGTAAGCGCTTTTCCCTGGTAGCACAATCCAAGGTAAGTAGTACCTCGAAGGTACCTGAAGATGCGTTTCACCGCTGCCCAATGTTGAGATCCAGGATTAGCCAGGAATTGGCTAACTTTGCTCACGGCAAAAGAAATATCTGGGCGCGTACAAACAGCTGGATACATGAGACTGCCAACAGCTTGTCTGTAAGGGATGGAGTCCATGGCTCTCTTGTCGTCCTCTGTCTCAGGAGACATGGCTCGTGAAAGCTGGCAGCCTAGTTCCATTGGTGTCGCCACTGGATTAGAGCTCGTCATAGAAAACCTGGCCAGCATCTCTTCTATATACTTGGCTTGGTGAAGATAGATAGTGCGTTGAGAGCGATCACGCACAAGTTCCATGCCAAGAAAGTAGGAAGCCGAGCCAAGAGTTTTCATCTCAAATTGGCTGCAAAGATCTCGCTTAACCTGGAGAAACATTAAGCGATGATTATGGATAACAAGAGTATCATCAACATAAAGAGCGATGATCACAAATGATTCACCCTCCACCCGAATATAAAGATTCGGGTCTGCCTCGCTACGAGAAAAGCCCACACTTAGTATAAAATCGTAAAAGCATTTGTACCAAGATCTGGGTGCTTGTTTCAAGCCGTAGACAGCTTTCTTGAGAAGCCAGAGATGATCCTCTTTTCCAGCGGCTAGAAATCCTTCTGGCTGTGCCATATAGATTTCTTCTTCAAGCGCGCCATAAAGAAACGCCGTGGTCACATCCATCTGTTCCAGATCAAAGTCTCCCACCGCAGCAAAATTAATCAAGGAACGAAGAGTAGAATGCTTAACCACTGGAGCAGAGGTGTCGTTGTAGTCAAGTCCAGGAACTTGCGAGCATCCTTTCACCACCAATCGCGCCTTGTAGCGAACCGAGCCATCAGGATTAAGCTTCAGAGCATACACCCACATGCTCTTGATAATCTGGCGATTGGAAGGCACAGTTGGAACAAGAACATGTGTCTCGTTCTTTTGCTGTGAAGCAATCTCGGCTTCCATTGCTACACGCCAGTAAGACGCTTCCTGTGAGGCCATGGCTTCTCCATAGGTTCTCAGAACAGTAGGAGTCCCAGCTGCACGAGAGGAGACCATTGTCTCGATGAGACGCTCAGTAGGCCGCCTTGTGCGGATCGATCTGCATAGAGGATCTGGAGGAGGCGGCGGGGTTGGTGGTGTTGGAGTAGAAGCGGGCATGGGTTGTTGTGTAGGGACTGTTTGAAGCGGCACAGTGATCGTGCCGACAGTCAACTGATCTTGTTCCGCTTCAACGTCATTTTCTTCGGTCAAGGTAGGAGAACCTTGACTAGAGGAAGAAACGAATTCTCGTTGAAAACCACATCTCTGCTCAGGATCTCCTGCTTCGTGATTGGATTCCAGAGACGATAGGCTTTGTGATCGAGGCTGTAGCCCACAAACACAGCCTTCTGGCTCTTGGGATCCAATTTCTTGCGCATTCCATCAGGGATGTGTGCCCACGCTTCACACCCGAATATTCTCAGATGCGTAACTGTAGGTTTCTTGCCACTCCATGCTTCTTCAGGAGTGATGTCAGCAAGGGCAGAGGTGGGGAGCCGGTTCTGGAGATAGTTCGCCGTCAAGACAGCGTGAAACCAGAAGCTGCGAGGCAAACCACTGGAAAGTAGCATTGCCCGAGCACTCTCCACTAGTGTGCGATTCTTGCGCTCAGCTACGCCATTCTGTTGTGGAGTCTCTCGCGTTGTAAGTTCTCGCACAATCCCTCCTTGCTCACACAGCTGGTTGAAAGCATTGGAAGTGAATTCGCCTCCACCATCACTTCTCAATCGCTTGAGCATTTTCCCAGTTTGTGTTTCTCCCATATCCTTGAAAGTCTGGAAGTAGTGTAACGATTGGGATTTGCGAGCCATAGGGTCGATCATAGTGCGACGACTGTAGTCATCAATGAAACTGATAAAGTATTGGATACCTCCCACTGCTGTGGTGGCCATCGGGCCACACACATCAGTGTGTACAAGTTCCATGAGCTCTGTAGCTCGAGATGCTCCAGTCTTGGGGAAAGGTTGGCGAGTAGATTTTCCTAGCTGACAGCCCTGACAAAATGGAAGAACGGCTCTTGGGTCCAGGTCTAGACATTCAACCATCTGCTCGCGTGCGAGCTGCTTGATTCTATCAGCACTAGGATGCCCCAGGCGTGCGTGCCAAAGCTCCAGTGAGTGACTGGTCGTTGTCTTTTGTGCGTGTAGGCCCAGACTCCGTCCAGCAAGATCTGGCAGCATGGTAAGGCGGTAGAGGTCACGCCGTCCAGGCCGGGACGCTGTGAGGATGGCTCCTGTGGTCGAGATCAGCTGGAATTGGCGAGGTGTAATGGCGAACTGATACCCATCCTCAGCAAATTGTCCCACAGAGAACAAATTAGCACATAAACCAGGAATATAAAGAACCTCGTGGATCTTTACGACTATTCCTTGTGGTAAAGTGAACTTGATGGTTCCAACTCCTTTCACAGCAAGCTGCTGGGCATTGCCAACGATGACATACTCCTCTGTGGCTGTAGGAACATAGGCTTCAAAGTACTTATCACTGTTGAACATATGGTCTGTAGCAGCAGAATCCAGGTAGATGCACTCTGCAGACAGTGCTGCCACAGCCATAGCTCGTGACAAGATGAAGGCGTGTACCACCTTTTTCTTTGCATTGTTCCTTACAGGCTTGAGAGATGGATTTTTCACCCAGCATTGAGCTTCGTCATGGCCTTTCTTGTTGCAATGAGAACACTTGGGCTTCTTGGATGAAGAGGCTCCTTGTTTCCCTTTGTTCACTGTTTCTTTCCTGAGAGAAGAGTAGAATGCAACGGCCTCTGATCCTGTTGTTGCTCTTCGTCTCAGATCATCGTCCTGGAGGCTACTGATCACGCCATTCAGGGTTAGAGGAGTTCCAGTGGTAGTGAGGCTACGTATGAGAGGATCAAAGGATGGAGGAAGTGTGACGAGCACCAGCTCTGCTTCTTCTTCATCCTCTATGTTTGCTCCCACATCCTTAAGATCATCTAAGATGGTTCTCACACCAGCAAGATGATCCTTGAGGTCATCCCCTTCAGCCATCACCAATGCATGAAGCTGCTTCCGTAAAAATATGCGATGGGATGTTGAAGGGATCTGGTAAGTCTGCTTCATGGCCTCCCACGCTTCCTTTGCACTCTTGCACCGTCCAATGCAATGGAATTCTCGCCCCTCCAGCGCTGCATGGAATTTGCCCAAAGCTCTCCGGTCCTTCTTGCGATACTTCGCAGTTTCATCCACTGTAGCTGTATCTGGAAGTGTCTCAGTTCCTGTGGTGATGTCCCAGAGGCCTCGTTCATCCATACAGGATTCGAATTTTGTCTTCCAGAAGCGCCAGTTCCTCCCATCAAATTTTGGTGGATTTGCGTCCACTGAAACGATATCCGCTGTAGGCACAGTCGGATTTGTGATGGGAGGGGAAATAGGTGGTGGATTTGGAGGCGGATTTGTAGGAACAGTGGCTGCCATGGGTGCCGACACCCAATCCCACCACTCATTCAAGTCTAGGTCCAGGTTCTTAGTCGTCCAGTGCCTCTTGCAAGGCCTGGAGCGTTTGGATTAGGGCACGCCTCTGTCTACGTAGACGGAGGCTCCGATTCACCCTAGCAAGTGTCGCCCTGATCCTACGGTTTCGAATTCTTCTCGCTCTCCCAGGCATTGCTCCGATACCATCTAACGAAAGGTGAAACCGTGTGATGGTGCTCAAGATCCGTCATAGTATATATGGAATGGAAAATGTACATCTGTGTGACATGAAGACTCGTGTCTCTCCACGTGGACTAGCCACGTGGCACAGGGCCACTCTCAACAATGTGGCCATGGAAAAGATCATAGCGGTTTACAGGAACGTTAAAACCTGCCAAGGGAGCTAGAGCAAAAATTGCTTCAAATAAGAATGCCATGTACGAGTTGATTTACTGCAAGCCACACATAGTTAAGAGCGCGCTGTATCTTCAACGAACCTGATCAACAAAACGCTTGGCACAATCGTGCTTGGTAAGCACGCACTTGCTAGCGTTCGAATTCTCAACATCGGGGACCTGGTGAAAATTTCAGCTGAAGTTTCAAAGGGAAAATACCAACTTCTACCTTGTGAAGTGCCGAATCCAGCTCCGCTAGTATAGCGTCAGGCTCCCCAGCCCATTCCACGGATTTCCTGGCTAAGTTCGCAACAGAAGCCGGAGGTTCCCTTATCAACCTCCACATTTGCTCCTTGGAATCTGGCTTTTCTACTCGAGAACTCCCGTGGACCAGTATGACGAGCTTCTCAGCGTTGGTGGAACTAGAAAGCGAATGGACGACAGAAGCTCCTGAGCTTGAGATTCTGTCAC